AGCTGCCAAGTCTGCTAATCATTCCTAAGCTTCTCTGAGAACACATTTAGTTATTTACTCAAGTGGACAATGTTAAGTGCTTTATGGTTTTCTTGAAAGGCTCTGTTTATTTATAAACTATTGACAGAGTCAATTTTGTAATGGGCCACACGTAAAAATCAATTTCTTTGGAAGAAATAAAGTCATCACAGCAACTAATTTTGGCCTTTTGTGTATTTAAGTGGATGGGGAAGAACTACCCAAGGCACTGATATTTGGCTATTCATGTAGATGAAAAGGAACTGTGGCCTTAAACTCGAGGACAATTTCAGGGAACTGCCCATATATCATCTGGTTCCTCTTACAGAGTTGATGCACCACAAAATCATCAGTGTGCCATATGCTATCAAGGACAGGTCTTTTACCTCCTCATGCAAGGAGAGCTACTAAATTTTGGAGGCTGTCCTTCAAATGAGAGCACTTTAGGAAGACACGTTGCCCACATCCTTAGTGAAAGCAATTTACTCCAAATTCTCAGCAAGGAGCCTGAGATTTGAAGCCTTACAAGTCCTCAAAGAACAAAGAGGTCAAGTGCTGCTGTTTGGACCTGAAAAGCACAGCTCTGGGAAAACAAGGGGTAGGAAGTCTGAAAGACAAAGAGGACAAGACAGCATGAGGGCAGAGGAAAAGAGAGAGGATTACTCTCACATCAGAAGGCCTGGGCTGTACCTGAGAGAATTATTTCCTCAACAAGTAGAAATCAAGCACAGGATGGACTTTGAACAATGGATGAAGAGGACCCAGACAGGTAAGACAGCACAGGCAGCAAAAGGCAGGGAGGTACAGTTACAGCTTCCCCTAAATCCTCTTTTTCTCATGCTAACTAGAATGAGGAGAAATAGCTTTGGCACCCTTGCCAAAACCTGATTTGTTTGCCTTGCTACCACATGCCACTGAAAACGTGAACCATAAATCCAGGGAATGATCAGGGCTATACAAAAAAGGTTTGGATCAGCTACTGGATTAGGAAAAGCTGGCTGGACTGCAAGGGAAAATTTGTCAAAAGCACAACAAGAGAGCCCACCCTCTTCACGGGCACAAAGGAGAGCCAGGGTGCTGGTGGCCAGCAGACGTGGTGCAGCGAGGCCAAACCTCCATGCTCGAGCTCATGCCTCAGAACCAGACACAGAACAAAAAGGTCATTTCACCAAGAGAAGGTAATTTCACCAAGCAGGACTAAAATCCTAAGCTCCACAGTCCTGGCCAAATACTGTTCTGTAGTCCACTTTCCCTCTGCTTTGCTTTACATCATCCCCCCCCTGAAGCTGCTGCTGAAACGTGGGATGCTGTCAGGGTGATCTGGACACTCATTTCCCCTCCAGTCAACCCAGAGCAACCATTCAGCTTCAAACACCTCATCCTGAGGACCAACCTCTTTATGAACCACTACACCGAGAGGAAAATAAAAAATAGGAGACAAAAAACCAAACCCAAACTGATTTATCAGGTCGCTGGAAATGGAATAGGGCAGGTCTTTTATCAGCAACACCTCCACCCAATATTGTCAGGGAACAAAACTACATCCAATGAACATCCTCTGGCTCAAGGCACTAGTAAAACTCCTTCACACCTTCCTTCTTACAGTAATAAATTTAATTGTTTCAGTTCTTTCTGTCTAATCTCCTTGATAAATGTTTTGAAATTTAAAACCAGCCTGAGGTCCATATATTACATTAAAAAAAAAAAAAAGAGAGAGAGAGAAAGAAAAAGACAAAACAACAACAATCTACACAGAATGATACTAAAAGACTCAATTATAATATGGGATTTTGGAGGCATCCAACACCCCTCCTGCTCTGTGCTGTTGATTTTAAGGATTTCTGGCCCTGGGAGGAATATTTCTTTCAAGGCACAACAGCCTCCTTGCAATTTCTACGAAGGCATTGCCATGGCTATTACTATTACCCTGGGGCACACCACTGCCCCCTTACATGGTTCATAAGCTGTGTGGGCACAGAGACCCTGCACCCTCCAAGCAGCTCTGAGCTCCTCTGAGCATGGCACAAACCAAGGCAGAGGGAGCAGCTGGCCACCAAGACAATGTTGGGAAAATTCCAGCCCTCCCAGAAGGGCAAATCCCAAATCAAGGGAGGTTGTCACCATGTGGAGATGCCAGGAAGAAACTCAACTCAGACTGAGGTCCCCTGCAAGGGCACTGAGGGCAGAAGGGCGCTCGGCTGCCACACGATGCAAGTGATGGAGGTGGGGAAGAACAACCCAACAGACCTGCTCTGTCCTCAAAGTTTCATTAGGACTCCTGGAAAATTTGTTGAGCTTCTGTTGCTGCCGAAAAGGGTCCCTGGAGCTGGCTGAAGGAGGCTGATAACAAATTTGCAGGCAGTAAATTAGCCAGTGGATATTTTTACGCTGGAAACGCACCGGGGGCCGAGGACTTTCCCCTCCCTTGCTCCAGCCACCTCCTGCCAAAGGCTGGCATCTGCTTTCACCACCCACCCTGCCTCCTGGTGCTGTCTGCAGCCATCAGGCTGGCTACCCAGGGGCCTCACCCCCCAGCCACCCATGGACTGGCACCAGGGGAGCTGCAGCCACTTGCCTCCATCTCACGTGCTGCAGAGACAGGAGATGTGACACACAACGAGCTGTTGGCTGGGATGTGCTTATTAAATAAAATTCATGCTAGAAGACAGAAACAGAATTCCCTTCCAGTGCCGCAGGGCAGGTGTTTAATTCAGCATTTTATCCCCTTTTTTATTCTTTTTTTTTTTTCCAAAAATATTTTTCCATCTCCAAGCAGCTTAATGCTGTACAGACTATTCCCCTTCTGATTCTCCCTCCAGTTAAAGCCATCTTTTTGCTTGCTCCCTCTGAAAGCAGTTCACTATGATTTTATCTTTCCTATCAGGCAGTGATTGCAAAGCCTCAGAGGGTTCATTAGGATCTTGATAATCCCTCCAGGTTTATTAGTCTACAGTGCTCACTCCCATCTCTCATCCCCATTTAAATATTACTAATTTCCTTAAACATCTCTTCCCATCTGCACAGGTTTTGCCCGATGTCACCTTTCTTTAACGGTCCCTGCCAAAAATCCAGTTAGTTCTGCTGAAGGCTGGTCTTTTGGACCAAGTGGTAAAATAGCCTGGGTAAACAGATTAATATCCTGTGAGAGTGAGTGGCAACAAAATTAATTTCTTCCTCACCTGCTGCAACTGCATTACGTTAGATGAATGAGTTTCAGAAACAAATTTTACCTCTGGACCTCAAGCAAATGCTAGATGATCTTTAAAGCCCCTTCCACCCCAAACCATTAATCCCATCCATGCTCAAAACCATTTTTGTAGTTATTTCCACTGCTCAAGCAGCACCCAGGAACAAGGACCCCACTAGTGATGGTGATGTGCAAATAGAAATCCTTCACCACGGTCGTGGGGTGCACAGGAACTGCCAGGACTGGGGAGGGCAAGAGGGACATGGAAGAGTTGCTGGGACTGGAGGGCAGCAGGAAAGCTGCTTGCTGGGAGTGGGGAATGACTGGAGTGGTTCAGAATCCTGAGCAAGAGCTGATGGGGGTGGCCACTGTCCCTTACCAGCTCTGCCAGCAGCACCAGCACCACCACGCTCTGACTCAGGGCTGGCAAATCACAAAGCAGCAGCCACTGCCCTGACACAAGTGACCTTCACCTCCCGAGGCTGCAGCTCTTCCCCAGTGCCCACTGCTGGCTCATCCCTCCAGAAACACCCTTCCTTTGGCTTTCCTGCCCAGTGCCAAGCATTGGCATGAGGGTGAGGCTTCTTCCTGCTGGACTGCTGCTGAGCAAGGTTAGGATCAAGCACCAAGCAGCCATCAGAATGCTGTTAGTCCAGGCAGGAATCTTGAGGCTTTTCCCTTCTTGCTCTTTTTCCTGCCTCTCTTCTCTGACATCTCCTTTCCCTATCCCTTTTCCCATTCTTTATCCCAAATGCTCTCTTGGCTTTCAACCCCTCCGTTTCACTCCTTCCCCCTCCTTCTCTCCACTCCAGCTCTCCTGCCCACACATTTGGCTCCATCCCTTCCCGTCTGTCTCCCACCCAAACACAAAGCGTGATTCAGCTCTCGGCTTTCCTGGCACACACACCCTGGCATAAATATTAATAGAAATTAGAGAATATGAGTATCATTTAGGGTTGGAAGGCACCTCCACTTAATCATCCAGCTGCACTCAGGTTTCCATCATCCCCACACCAGCATTAACTGGCAGGTATCTGGTCTCCCCAGGGGCAGCATTTCCCCCACGCCACTTGGCAGCTTGCTCGAGCGCCTCGTAGCTGCTGCAGCAAGAGAAGTTTCTCTGATGTTGATTTTGTGTTCCCCCTGCTGCTGCCTAACCCCATTACTCCTGGTTTAGCACAGTACTCGGGGATTTAATCACATGATCCCCCCATTAATGTTATTAGTAGCTATAAAGCCAAATCACTAGGGACCACACTGAAGACATACCCCACTCTGCCTCTCAACATTTATGGTATCATCCTTCCCTATCCCTCCCTTGCCTTCCACAGCCACTCTGAGGCAGAGGAGAAAGGCACAGGGCCGTGGTGCCTTCTGTCTGCACACCCCAGCACTGCCCACCCTCCTCCCAGCACGGGGAACAGGTTTGGGGGCCACCACCTCCAGAGTAAGACTCATTGAGCATGAACCACCCTTCTGCTGGTGCTCCCCAAGCACCCCCACATCTCATCCACCTGCAACACCCACACATCCTGCCTTGGGCAGCTGCATGGGAAGGATCAGTGCTGGATCCTTCCCATGGAGAAGGATCCTTTCACCTCCTGAAGGACAGGGCAAGATTTTCCCTGCTCAGGTTTGGAGGCGGCCACTCCTCCTGGCCTCCTTCCCCCTCTGCTGTGAATCCCCTGCTCCTGAAGCACACAGCTCTTCCCAACCCTCCCAGGGGCCAGGGAGATGAGCTCCCATTAACATGACTCCACAGGCAGACGGGAGAAAAGCCCAGAAAAAGTCTTACCAGATTAGTGAAGATATACGTGTAATAGGCAGACGCCATTCCCAGTTCAGCTGCCTGTGAAGGAGAGGAAAGGAGATTAGACCAGAGCCTGACAATCTTCAATCTCCACTCTGGCAAGGCAGAGACTGGGCCACATTTGCTTTTTCATCCTTATCACTCCGTGCAAGCACTGCTGTCTTCCTGCAGGCAGGGAAGGGTGGGACACAGCAACATCATTTGACCTGTGAAATTAAAAGTCTGGGGAACCAATTTTTTTCAGCAGGATTGAGCCTACCCCTGCAGTCTCTTCTCTGCAACAGTACTGACAAAACACCTGCACAGGGGCTGCCTGGCAGAGAGGAACCACCCATCCTTGTGTGAACTGCAGCTCCAGCCCCCAACACCATCCCTGCTCCCTCTGCAGCATGGCACTGACAAAACACCTGCACGGGGGCTGCCTGGCAGAGAGGAACAACCCATCCCTGTGTGAACTGCAGCTCCAGCCCCCAGCACCATCCCTGCTCCCTCTGCAGCATG